TGACAGCAAGTCAGTAAAATTAAATGAATGCAATCAGGATAGTGATTACTTTTCTCAAGAAGTGTGTATGTAAGAAAGAGAGGGCAAACATTTGTACTTCTTGGCATCTTAAGACCAATATTCTGCTGTGAAAAGTGGCTTATAGAAATGTGGCTCGTTATGTACTAGGGTATATGTATGACAGGACCTTGAGTTAGCGAAAGTGTTGAGCTGGATGTCACTAGACCTTCTCTTGAAGTGAACTTCTCAAAAAAGACCAAAAGACTTTCAGATTTAAATTCGCAAGTTTTATTTGAGTAAAACCTAGAAAGTTAGCTTCTTACAAAATAGAATCTTCATAGTGACCTGTGGGGAATAGATGTAGACAAAGAAATTTATGCAAAACTGCCTACTTTGTGCAGCTAGGTCCTTGTTTTAGTAGTTGGTTGTTTAACTTGGCAGCTTGATGAGTGGCAGCAAGGCAGGTGGGGTTTGGTTTTTTAGATCTTTTTGGTGCAAGGAGATTGTATTTAACTAGAACAATAATAATCCTAGTTTTGTATCTCCAGTCCCGTGACTTTTCTTTACAGTTGCTGTGCTGGTTTAAGCAGCTCAATCCCTCCCCCCCATTTTCCCTGCATTATACCCTTCATTGCAAACCTACAGGCAGAAGTGGATCAGATAACTGATCCAGGTATTCAGTATCTCCCTCTTAGTTTTTTCCTGAGAAGAGACACATAGCCCAGTTCTCTAGACGCAACCTTGCTGATCTGGTGCATAGTTTTATTTTTCTATGATCCAAAATAGGTTACTTGTAATTTTTTTTAATTAAAATATGAATATAGTATAAACATAACTATTTTTTATATAAGTTATAGACTTGCAGTAAACGTATGCTATCAGTTTTTTATGTCTTTATTTGATAAAAGGGTGCAGAAGGGAGAGACTGCAGAGATGACTGATGAGAAGGGATGGGCTGGTTGGATTAGGATTATTTTGGAAAAAGGCCATTAAGAGAGAAAATCAATTGCTTTGGCCATTTTAGAATTAATATATCAGCCCTTGTAGTAGCAATTGCTGGTCCATGCCTAAAAAAAATTTACAATACTTTGTCAGTTTTCCTGATAACTTTATAGAACACTTGATTTTGTTAAAGTCTCTGACTCTGTCTTGATTATCATTGTTCAGATGTGTTAGTACTTGCTTTCACTAAGCCAGTTTCCTTTGAATCTGTGAATACTCACTGTGTTTCAAAAGCTCTGTACAGTTTTAAATGGCTAAAGAGAAAATTGGCAAGCCTGAAAATCATCTTGTAGCAAAGACCTTCTGAAAACGAGGAGAGTTCTCACAGTCATCCAAATGGAATTTTATCTTTCTTTAAATTGTGATTTTAATAAAGGTATACTCTCTTGTGCATTGGACGTAATCCACACATGCCACTTAGTAGTGTCAGTTTGATTTTATTTTATAGATTATTTAAGTATCATGCATATTTACACAGATTTATTAGACAAGTTGTTTAATATTCAGGTCTTTCAACTGAAAGTGGATACAGTGGTAATATTGAAGGTTTTAAAATATGATGGCCTGGATGTTTGGTTGTGCATTAGCACAAGAGTAAAATGTTGCAGAATTCCTTGAAAGCTCTGAGTATCCATCTGCTGAGAAGAAAATGATTTGCTGTTTTTCATCACCTAAGTGTGAACATGTGTAATGAACTGCATTGCATTAAGGAGTTCGGCTCTGCTGTGGAGCTCCAAGTACCATTGTCTGTACTCCAAGTACCAGTGCACTCCCTGCTCCGCACGGTGCCATGAGGGTGGCCGGGGAAGTCCATTTCTAGTGATGTTTTGGTGAGGGTTGTACAGCTGTGAAAGAGGCGTTAGAGAATTAAGGAAAACACCTAAAAAACTCCACCAGAAAAACCCCAAAGCAGAAAAAAACCCCAAACCCAACTAATGGCATGGTCTCTGTGGCAAGGCTGGATATATGGAATACTGATTTTGATTTCTGCCTACCTTTGTGTGCTGTGCATATTAGGACCCCCTAAAATTGAATCTCATATATTTTTCCTGTTTCCAAGTAGAAAAAAATAGGTGTTACCCTGTTCCCAAGGCACCCTCAAATTCCTAAGAGCAATAAGAAATATTATTGCATTAAACTTCTTGAAATTTTATTTTGTAGTGTGACTGGCAACTTCCTTAATAAAGAATAGTAGATATGACCAGAACAATTGAGTTACGGGGTTTTGTGGGTTTTTTGCTTAGGTGGTGGTGATTTTTTTTTTTTTTTTAAATTATTTATTTTTTTTCGTTTGCCTCTATAGTTTGCATGGCTCATTCACATGGTAATGCTGGCATGAAATTCATGCAGTGTTCTAGAGTGGTTTTTCTTGAGAATAACTTAATTATATTTTTCATTTTTTTCCCCACACCTCCACATACTTAACTTGAGGAAAAAAAGAAAACAAACTTTTATTAGTTATTTTAATGCTTTAGTCATTTTAAAATTTTTGTTTAATACCAACCCTACCTTAAAATGAGTATGATCTTGAGTCATTTGAGTCTGGTTATAACTTGTACTGTATTGTATCTTAATGGATTCCCATTTGATTTCAGGCTGTTTTTCTTTGACTAAGACAGCCTTGTCAGTCAATGTAAATGTGTGCAAGCCATGTAGAACAGTGCAACCAAAACCCCAGTATCTTCATGTAGCATAGATTTTATTGATACCACGTATATGTTTTCAAGTATTATGGGAGATTATAGATAGCATAAGAAAGAGTGGAATTAAACATAGAATTAAACATAATAATACTCTTGAGGAAAGTAACTAATTGAACTTTTATCTCCCCCCTCTCTCCTTTTTTGTTTTTCCCCTCCTCCTCCAGCTTGTATTTATACTCTATCTTTTGGGAGAAATTGTTAACCAATTAATTATTGCCTGCTTGCTAATAACAATGAATTCTGAAGACCATTCTCCTTTTTTTTTTATAACATGAAGGCAGCTAATCAAGAGAGAAGTCGCAAGTACTTTGCTTCCCCAGACCGTTTATCTCCTGTAAGACTGTAACCTTAGAAAGGTTGCTAATAGAAGTGGTCTTTTTTGTAATGAGTGAGGGCTAATGACTTTCTCTGACTCTTTGGCTTATCTTGGGTTTCAGTGCTGCCTGCTGTGAAGCGTCTGACTGTGTGTGTGAGACCTGGCCAGTGGAACGGCTTTAGGGTGACCTGCTTTTGGAACCCTCAGTTTTTCCAGAGGTGTTTAGGGGGATTGTTTTCCCGTGTATCTCTTCTCATTGGAGTTCTCAGGATCACATTTCTTGCATCTTCTGTGCCACAGATGAATATAGCCTGTGGGAATGTGGGGTGAACAATTATGATACGAAGTGTGGTGTCATAACTGTACCACTTTTCACCCCACTCTTAATTTCCTTTGGACACAGTTATTGTAGAGCTTACTGCTGCCTGGTATCATCAACTGAACTTTGCCAAGATCTTGGTTGCTTTTTGTGGAATGCAGTTTGCTAAACTATTGAATCCTGTCACTATGGCAGTGCTGTGAGCAGAAGGTTGAATCAACTCCTGTACTTTACTGTGTCAAGTCAGAAAGCATGTAGCATCTTTATTTGTGCTGCAATCCATACTTATTCTTTTCAGTGTTTAAGCAATGCAGAGAGTTGATGTGAAGTGCCCTGGGGTCCTTGCATCTCTATCAGAACTTTTTAAAACTATGCAGCTATATGCTATGACCTTGTAATATTTCATAGGTCTTTTGAACTTGAAGCTAGTAACTGTTGCGTACATGGTTTTAATTAAAACAGATTCATGGCACTTTGTCCTTAAAACTACTATACAATTACAGATTTAATTGTTTACCAAGTATTCCTTAACTTGACATACTCTTGTGTCAACAATAAGAAGTTCCGTCTTAGGCTAGCTTTTTCCTAGTACGTCCAAGTTTTAAGTAATAGACATCAGTTCTTTACTATTAAAACTTTTCTAGTTGCAATCAGCAAAATTTTTAATTTACGTGTTGTATTGTGGCTTGGAAGGTCATTCTCTGAATTCTGCTGCTGACAGAGCATTTGTGCCTTTAAAAAAAAAAAAAGTAGATGAAAGGAAGGAAAGTGCCCTCTAATCTGAGGGCATACTTTCAGAGTAAAAATGCATATTTCATTTCTGCAACTTTCTGCTATTGTTAGCCTCTTGTGTATATGAACATGGGATGAACTAAGCTCTCTGTGTACTCTTTTGATGCACATGGTAAACTAACAAACCACTAAGGAACTGACATTCCTTTTATTATTTTATTAAGTCTTTCAACTGCTGAGAATTAAGAAAACAGAGCAAAAATAGTAAGTAGTATAGTCTACTTACTTTATTGGTCAAGCACATACGATTATTTTGTGTGAAAATGTTCCTATTGATGCATGTTATGTGTTCATAGTACAGAAAAAAATCCTCACTGTATTTCAGTAAAATTGATTTTGCTCTGGAAAGCATCAACATGGGGGGTAATGATTCAATCTGAAAACTTGTTGCAGAATTATAGTCTTGCTGTGTATTCATATACATATCATGTATATTCATATAGAGTTATAAATGACACGGGTTTTAGAAATCGCAATTAATCAAACTTGATATGCTTGACAGTTCTTTCATCCTTCTTTGGAGCGTAAGTTAATGATGGGGAATGTCAGTCTCCAGTGAAAGTAGTGGTATATCATAGAATTAAGCCTTGAATGCTGTTGTGTTTGCATTCTCCACTTCAACCTGGACTTTTTTGGTGAACTTTATTTTCATAATAGCAGATGATGATTAAATTACTTCTGCAACATGTTGTTCAAGATCTCACACAATAGGAATACAGTTGCTATAAGAGGTTCGTTTGTTAATCTGAGCTCTGTTTTACAAAAACTGTATGAATGCTGCTTTCCTTTGAAATTGATCTTCAAAAAGAAATCCTGTTTTGTATAATAAGATGCCAGACTCACAAAGATTTCCTTTCTTGTTTCATAGACGTTCCATCTTCAGAGCAGCCTGAACTGTTCCTAAAGAAACTTCAACAGTGCTGTGTCATTTTTGACTTCATGGACACGCTTTCAGACCTTAAAATGAAAGAATACAAGCGCTCCACTCTTAATGAACTGGTGGACTACATTACAATAAGCAGAGGCTGTTTGACAGAGCAGACTTACCCTGAAGTAGTTAGAATGGTGAGTTCCTTCTTTCTCATGGTCTCTTTAAATCCACTTGCAATTCCAGTTACGCATTGTGGGCGAAATTGAACCCTGGAGTAGGTGGATTAAATGAGGCCTTTGATTTGTATTTTCTACTAGACATCACTTGGGGATAATTCTCCAAAGACAAAAATATTAATTTTTATATATTCTTAATTAAAGTCAAGTAGATGATGGTTATTATAGTGTCACAAATGTATGAAAGGAAACCTGGATTGTTTCCTGATGGAGAAAGCCAGCAGCCATAAAATCAGTCCCTCACATTTCCCTCCACCTACCCCCCTTCCTCTCCCCAGTGTAAATAATGGAATAATTTCTGCAAGTTTCTTAACTTTCTTTGAATTTTATCCAAGCTCTTGAGTGTGTACTTTAGGCAGAGAGAGCTTAAAACCTGCATGCATAATGATTTTTAAATGATAAATACTAAAAATGTTGTATATAATCAGTGTGAAAATTTCCTGGTTGTATTATGTGGATTCGTAGCAGCTGCTGCTGGAGTGAGCAAGATTATTCAACAATAAAGCCATACCTTGTGTATATATATATATATATATTGTTAAATATCAATTTTAAATGTAAAAATGGAAACAGTACCAGATGCTAGATATATGGTGAAGAACATTCATTGCGATTGGCAAAATCAAGCACTGCATTAAAATGTTTAGTCTGTACTACCATACAGAACCCTTATAACCTGTTATCTAAATGAGAAAACAGTTAGTTAAATACAGATTTGGTGATGTTGCCTCCTAATAGTACTGTGCGATTCGGGGAATCCGCTGGCTCTGTGCTGTAAGAAAAAAAAAATACATATTTTTTACATTGCATTGTATATGCACCTTATTTGTTTTCTGACACAGAGATGCATGCTGTGTTGCTTGATTGTAATATTTAAAAATAGCTGTAAATTGTGACAGAATCATCAAGCGGTTAATAGTGAAAAAAAAAATAGCATTAAGGGAGTATGGAAAAATCTTAATATGACTTCTTTGTGTGTATGCATTGTCAGAAAGCCTATAATTGTGTGATCAGATTCTTCCCCTTCTCCCTCACCCTCCCTTTCTCCCTTCTGTACTGGACAAATCTTCTGAATGAACTGCTTTTCAGTCCGCTGTGTTATTTGTTCAGCATGTGATCTAATGCACCATTCAAATACCACTCTGAATACAGAATTACTAGTTCTTTGCTGAATTCTTCTGCACTGTAGTATCTAAATGGTTTACTTGTAACACTTGTGATCAACAAATTATCTCATACCCTTTCTATAGACAGGACACTGATGCACAGGTAACTTCAATAAAATTGGTTACTTTTTCTGTGTGTGGAAGTTGCCTCCAAACTCACCTCCTGGGAGAATCTTTTTTTGTTTGTTTTTTTTTTTTTTTAATAACGTTTCTGTTATCGAGGTTGTATTCTTGCCTTGACTTTGGTTATAGTTGTTTACTTCAGCAACATTTGTAGAATAAAGACTTTTCAAGTTAGTGTTATCTTAGGTTTGGGCCCAAGAAAGAAGAAGAATTTGATCTGTATCTGCTCATAAAGTTCAATTTGAATCATAAGTTGTAACCTATGAAGCAATCTGAACTTGAACTGCAGAAGAGATGTAAAACCCCTGTGCTAGCATGTCCTGTTGTCCCTGCAGTCACTTATGTTGATTCACAAAACAGTTTTTATCTTAAGGAAATGATGCATTGCCTAAATCGTTTGAAAAGCATAGTTTTAAATAATTTTCTTAAATATAGTCTGTTAACTGTGATATGGAGGAGTCACCGGAATTAAAGATACAGCATGAATTTTTCCAGTGGATTTCACAGATATTTGCTAATGGAGCTTCAGGAATTCCAGTTTCAGCTTAGCTCATTTTTGATGGAAAACTGTTCTATCTTCTTTTTTCCCCTGATCCTTTCATTGCATCATGCCCTTCTTCATCTTGCTTTCTTCTGCCTTGCATTTGGGCCCCAGTGCTGAAGTCAGGCTATGTTTTCTCTTCAGTGCCAGAGTACTTAAGCAGGGGAGGACTGAGGACATTTTCAAGTCCTCCATCTGGCTACTCAATGGCTCCTGACTGCCCAAATGTGAATTTTTCACAAATAAAACGATGTCTAAGTAATTAGGGAAGCAGACATGTTTTTCCCCAAAGAATTTCTGGAGAAAGTTGTCATATTTAAATTTTGTAGGAAACTCTGGCCTGCAACGGACACCTGTGCTTTGATAAGATGTAAGCTAGTGGAAGGAAAGTTTCAAAATTGGAAAGTTGGCATACCCTAATTGTGCCTGTGGCAACCGGCGGTGTTCTCGGTGTATGTGCTCTGAGAAAGACACTTTGGAGGTTGTATTCCATGTGAGCAGGGTGCTCTGCTCTGCTATTGAATTTATGTGAGTGAATCCATGGCAAATGCATTAATGATTTCTTTTGCTCATCCCAACAAATGCTAATGCAGTGTTTCTACTAAACCACAACATCAGGGCTTTTGTGCGTTGCAGGTATTTTGTATCTTACAGATACGCTATCTGGTAAAACTGTTATTTTTTTCTCCTGGTCTTTGCCTATAAAAGCAAGACACCTCCATCACTTTGAGCACAGTTATACAGGTCCCAGAGGGAAAGGTAGGACTTCTAATATTACATGAAATAAGTTTTTGGCACATATTGCCTGGTGAATAGATGGCATTAGTCACTTTGTGCTGAAGCATCATGTTTGGTGTAACTTGTTCTTTGCAATAAGCGCATGTTCTTGTTTCATGAAGAATTGTGCTCATAATTGTAGACTGGGACAGGCGTAACTGCGTGCAGTTGGCTTCATGAGTGCAACTGCCACTTTTATCTGCTTCTGAGGATTTTCATCTAGGTCTCCAACTGTGTTCACAAAGGAGCTGTCAAGTTGACAATCCCTGACCTGTCATGGTATCGATGTCCTGACCAAATTAGTGTCCCCATTGACTGCCTGCCAGAATTGTCATGGGAGTGTTTTGATTGAAAGACCAGTATCTTAAAACTGATAAAAATGGAGCACAAGCCTTCTTTGCCCCTTTGGAAGGTCTCCTCTTTGTTATGGTTAGTGTTTATGAATTTAGGAATTAGTATTTCCTGCTTGGCTCTTTGGGCTACTGTGATTTGGAGGGGAAGTGAAGTATTGTAAACAAGTGAAAAAGAAAGAAGCTGTTTTGTGAGTTTTGGCATCATTTAAGAGCAGAAAAAAAGGCGCACCAGTCTGAAGCTGATATTTTTAAAGTTACCAATATTTATAAAGAAGGATTAATGGCTAAGTGCTTTCTTATCTTAATTATCTAAAATGTCAAAAAAAGTGATACCTGTGAAAGAGCCTTTTTTTGTTTCAAAGTTTTATAACATAGGTGTATATTACTGTTCTCTGTTCATGAGTGACAAGGCATTTGGCTTTACAGATACTATGGATAGAAAGATTGCCTGTAAAATTCTTCAGAAACTGTGATATTTTTAATTACATCTAAATGCGGTGATGTTATGATGTATGGGTTTGAAAAACAGTCATTTGTGGTAGCCAGCATAACAGCTCCCTGATATTTTTACTGCCAGTCATCCTAAATTCATGCCGTTAATACCTTAATCCCTAACCGTAATATCACATATTTTCATCTTGTTCTCTTGAGCATATGATATTATATTGTATATAGCTAAATGTGAAATCACTTGGCTATTTGTCAACCTGTGTGCATGTCCACTTCTCTAAACCACTCTAGCTTGATACGTACAGAACTGTTTGGCATGTTATTGGTTATTTAAAAAAACAAAATAAAATTGAATTTAGTAATGGCCACCAAATCAAGCTTGCAGGGGCCTCGTCACTGTCATCAATATGAGTGGATGGGAAGAGCAGTTGGGATTTTTGTTTATGGCCATAAGACGGACAGATATATTCAGGAGGGTATTGCTCAGTGCGCTTCCCCTGCAGTTTGATGTGTTGTTCAGAAGGGCATGCGACATTCTTTAAAATTAGGCTAGTCTTAGGAAAAAAGGCCCTTGCCAATTAAACCACACTCAGCTAAGAAGGAAATGCCAGTAATATGACTTTATGAGCCAATAATTGGACACTTAATCTAAAATTTGTTCCTGTCTGAGCAAAATGTGGAGGCTTAAACTAATGATGCTGATTTTGCTGGTAGATTAAGCAATGGTAGTTGAATAAAATAAATGTTTGTTAATATCTGTGGTATCCTAAAGGGTGCATGTAGTAGAGCTTTTTTTGTTTTCTGGGTATTAAGACACAGGTTGGGGAAAATTATTTATTTCATTTAAAAAATTGGGTGGGAAAAATTGACAAGCTGTTAAACTGAGAAATCTGGGTGAATCTCTTTGTTGGTGGGACACATTTCAGCTCTCCTACTTGCTTCTTCAAAAATTGTAAACTCAACCCCTGATGTTTTCCGTGATGTTTATGCAACATCGTGGATGGTTGCCAGCCCATAAGAGATGGCTAAGGAAACTTTTTTAAGATACACCTTTCAGAATGGAATAGTATTACTTTGTTTTCCTCTATTTTAAGTGCAGAAATGCCTTTGGCTTGTTGTTGTTGTCTTTATCTTTTCTGCGATGATGAATCAAGTAAAATAAGACTGTAATCTCTATAGCCAAAATGAAGCATCATATTAAATGTCTTGTGGCTCAGAAGCTGAGTTGAACAACACGATGAAAGAAACTTGGTTAAATGAATACCCAAATCAATACCAATAATAACATTTTAAAAATCACATGATATATTTTTTTATTTCTTTCTTCTTGTTTCTACTGACATAAATCTAGAGGGATTGCATTCCTTTTCCTGCAGGTTTGTCTCAACTGATGTGGAGGCAAATACTGATCAGGAGTTTGTTTGTGACAGACCTGTTAAACATAATGAATATCTTGTTAAGCCATGATTTTTTTAGCATGTTAAGGAACCTATTTTTAGAAAGTGTTCTAGCTGTTAGACTTCATAGGCATTATGAATTTCTTTATTT